GATTCCAGCTCCAGACCTGGCAAAGCCCCCCATCGCCGTGTGCTGGCCGAGAGCTGGCCCGATCCGACAGCATCTGTTTGCAGAGGAGGCGCAATGACATCAGCAGTGTGCCCTGGGTGGCGGCGTTGTTGGCTCCGCGCTCCTCGTCGCGATCGGTGCAAGAGTGCTTGCCCCTTGCGTTTGCCGGGGGCGCACAAACATGGATTAGCGATCATGGATTTGGCGCGCTGTCGCCCAATCTATGGATCGGGGGATGTGCCCTCCCCAAAATGCGGCCGGCGCCGCCTTGCTCGGCGGCGGAAATCCGCGCGATATTCCACGGGACCCGTCGGTAATCCACGCCCCCTTGATCCATGTTTGCGATCGCCTGATGGGTGGCGGCGCTGTTGCCTCTGCGCTCCTCTTCGCAATCGGTGCAAGAGCGCCTGCCCCCTGCGCTTGCAAAGACCATGCCGACCTGCATCGTTGATGGCCACATGTGCGCCTTCCTCCACCCTGCGGCTGCCGCTCCTCCCCCGCCAGCTCTCCCGCTCTTTCTCCTCCTGCTCCTCCGCGTGCTCCTGCTACTGCTCCTGCTCCTCCTCCTCCTCCTCCTGCTCCTCCTGTTCCTCCTCCTCCTCCCCCTCCCCCTCCGCCTCCTCCTCCTCCTCTTCCTCCTCCTCCTCCTCCTCCTCCTCCTCCTCCTCCTCCTCCTCCTCCTCCTCCTCCTCCTCCCCCCCCTCCTCCTCCTCATCCACCTCCTCCACCCTTCCTCCTCCTCCTAATCCTCCTCTTCCCCTTCCAGCTCCTTCTCCTCCTCCTGCTCCTCCTCCTCCTCCTCCTCCTGCTCCTCCTCCTGCTGCTCCTCCTCCTCCTCCCAATCCGGATAAAGTGTTCGTGCGCACGTCACAAGTTTCTCGGCCCCTGTGGAACTCCACCTCCACCGCGCAGCAATATTCGCTGCATGGCCGAGCCCCACATCCCCGACGTCGCGATTTTCTTTATGACGCGATCCAGACAATTTGTTGCCCAGTTCTGCATCACCCTCCTCTATACCCAGACCACCGACTTCATGATTTTTTCATGACGCGGCCCCCAGAGGTCCGGACCCATTCCCCGGGACCGGTTTTTCATCCCGAGTCGTTGTTGACGGTCCCGAGGCCCAGTGAGGGCCCCCGGAAGCCGAAAATAGTAAAAAACCTCCCCTCGTGATTTTTTGTTACGTGTCGAGGGAGTCTGGGGCCATTCTGCAGAGGACAGGCGGGGAAGAAGGATCGGGGGCTGGGCAGCGCGCAGCATCGCGCGGCAGCTGTCCGGCAAGCCCGCCGTACCCTCGATGGCCTGCGACACGGCCTGCAGGTACTCCTCCTGCTGCGTCGGCTTCGCCGCCTCTCTCGCAGTCACCGCCCGCCCAGCATGTTGCCCTCGTCGTAGTCGTTGTCGTCATCCTCCCCTTCCTCCATCTCTTCACCCCTTCAGCCTCCTCCTCCTCCTCTTCCTCCTTCCCTGTCCTTCCCGTCGTGATCCCAGGGCTCCAAGCCCGTCGGTCGAACGTTCCTCTTCTACGGCTGAAAGCAATCGTACGCTTTCATCGAGTACACGTAGGAGTGACCCTAAGCTAGAGTAGACGTTGGTGCGCGGCTTCATGGGCGCCCGTGGGGACCCAACATAACCGCGCAAGCCAGTACAGCCGCGCCGCATTAACGATCGCGGGACGCCACTCGAGAATGTTTGTTGCGCCAGCGGGCAACCACGGAATTTCGCCAATCGGATGCGAACGCCCGAAATGACTCTTCGAAGGCGCTGCGAAAGCAGACGCTGCCAGGGCCACCGCGATAAGGTCTGGCACTGCTGGACCGCATCGCGATGACTTCTGGCCAGGTCTGACGTCATGGCCAAAACTGGCCCCATCCGCTGGCCGGGAATATGTCTGCTGGAAAACTTGCAAACATAAAGATCCCCATAGGTTCAAAACATATATCTAAACATATCTCGAACATATGCCAAAATAGTCAAAGATATTTCAAGATAGCCAAAGAGACTCAAACCAGACGATTTGGGATTTGGGCTGGGATTTGGGACTGGTCCTTGGGCGCTGGCGGAAAACGCGCCGTCCGGTCGACCGGCCCCCCCTCGGGAAACCAGTGCATACTGTAGGGTGCGCCGCTTATGCGCTGCTGTCGATAGCAAGGAAGGGGTCCCAAACCTGTCGTTTTCACATGCGAGCGCAATCACGCGATATGGGTGCCGACGCGAGTTCAAGCTCATTCCAAAACAAAATCACCCGGCGCCCTTGGGGCCAGCACCAAGGGTCACTCTAGTGAAGGGCCACTCTTACGTGTAGTCGATTCCAGTGCCACGACGCGACCCTACTGCGCGGACGCTAGCAGACGATGCAAGACGCAACGATGGCAGCTCAAGACTTCTGCGCTCCCTACCCCAAGTACTGCCAGGGGCAACATGAGTGCTGCCAAATCCTCCTCGGCACGACCCACCCCCTTTCGCGGGGCAGGGAGCGGTGGGAGCAGAAGTAAGAGCGGCAAAACTGCAAAAGGACCCCGACCACTCACCCTGAGGGCCGAACTGACGGCACAACTGCTTACACTCCCGAATGCTTCTCCGCCCATCACAGCGCCTGTACACTCGCATCGTGACACCCCTTGCTCGTCTAGAACAAGAAAGAGCAACATAAGCATAAACTTTTGGAGCTCCGCGCGGATTTCTTGGATTCCCGCTGGACCCCCCTCCCTGGCGCGCGGAGCGGGCCAGGGGCGGCGCCGGAGGCGCCGCCGGGGGGGCTCAGGCACGGATCCAAGCAATCCGCGGGAAGCGCCAAATGTTTATGTTTATGTGGCTTTTTTCTTCGATTGTCAGAACCTCGTCACACCGCGTGCTTGTCAGAGCTCCGTGCCTCCAATTGCTTGTTCGAAGCCTCGGACAAGGGACAGCTGGAAAACGGGACCGCCTCGAGGAGCCCTCGACCAATGCTTCCAAGACCTCCTTAGGAACGCGTGGAGAAGCCAAGCCCCTTGCGCGATGTTCCCGGCAGGCCCCCCCGGAAACATCCGACAGCACTTCCGAATAACTATTCCCCCCTGTAGGGGGACAGGCACGACTCAGCCCTGGCCCACCCAGGGCTCGCCACACCTTCTGGATCGGTAGTTCAAAGATGGGGTCCTGAGGGATGGGGTCCCAAGGACGAGGTGCCTCAAACAACGTAGACCCACCCTTGGATCCCGTCCTATCCTTGGGCCCCCATCCCGCAGGACCCCATCTTTGAACCACCGACTGGATGCAGCCTCGGCCTGATGCGCCAGGCAGGTCGGCGGGCCGGCGGCCAGCATCCTGCAGTCGGACGGCGTTGGAGCCTCCGGGCTGCTGACTCCTCAGGCCTTCCCGGGCCCCGAGCATCTGGCGGACTCCTCCTCCTCCCTGGCGACGCCGCGCCGGCCAGAGCCTCCGCATGATCCCCAGACTGTTGGCGCGAGGCCGCGCCGGGCAGAGACTTCGCCTGCGACGCCCGGTTCTGTGCGATCCTGTCTGGCCCCTCGGACTGGGAATCGGACGGGGCGCCTCGTCCGCTCTGTGTGGTCTCCTGCTTCTGGCCCTCCACCGTGCTTCTCGCATTGTCCACATCGTCTTCCTTCTCCCACATCCTGTTCCTCCTCTTTTTCAACGCAGACCTCCCAGCCACGGCTGTAGAGTTCCGTGTCCCTCCTCCTCCTCCGCCTCCTCCTTTCTGCGTCCTCTCCACTGTCCCGCATATTCGTCCTGCTGCCCACGTCCTGCTCGCCCCGATCATTGCACTCCCAGCGCCTTCCGCGGGCGGCCTGCCACAGGGGCGGCGGCGCGCTTGTTGCCCTTGGGCGCCATAAGTGCCGCGTTGCCTCGCCGATGCGTTTACTGCTGGAAGCATCTTCCTCGTAGTCCCCATCAAAATCTTCTGTCACCGCCAACTGCCACGAGGACATGACGGTGCCTGCAAGACTTCCGCAGCAGTGACCTATGTCGGAGGCATGGTAGACATATTTGATTTCAAACATGCTCGGAGTTCCTCTTCCCTCCCTTCCTCCACCCCAGTTCGTCTGGACCCCTCTGGAATCCTGGCCACCCAATTTTCCATCCTCCATCATCCTCTACCCTCCTCCTCCTCCTCTTCCTCCTCCTCCTCTTCCTCCTCCTCCTCCTCCTCCCCTTCCCTCCCTACTAGGTGCCAAACATATCCGCATGTTTGGGGATCTTCCGAGCGGCCTTCCGGAGGGACGAACCAGATGCCACTGGCGCACTCCGAACGCTCAACGACTCGCTCCGTCGGAGGAGCAGCGGCAGGAGGATTAGGAGGACAAGACGAAGGAGGATGAGGAGGAGGATCGGGATCAAGATGAGGTTGAGGAGCAACAGGGGGAGGATGAGGTCAATTCGTCATGCTCCAAACAACTCCTCCTTTCTTCCTCTTCGGGCCTCTCCTCTTCATGTTTCTCCTCGCTGGATGCTCTTTTGCAAGCCCGGCACTTATACTGCGCTTCGAGCGTCGGAAGACTGTGCCTCCTCCTCCGGACCAGGCACGTGCTGCGCGCCTAGGCTGCCAGGTAGTGCTAAGTAGCTCCCCTCCGCTTCCTCCTTTTCCGTCCTCGATCCTTCCCATCCTTCGCTGCTTGATTATGCGCGTCTTCACGCGCCACCTGAACCTCCTCCCCTTTCTGCCTCTCCTCGATCGCCTGCTCCTCCTCGCTCTTCTGCTTCTCCCGTGTCTCCTCCTCTTTCTCCTCCTCCTCCTCATCCTCCTCTTTCTCCTCATCCTCCTCCTTCTCCTCCTCCTCCTCCTCCTCCTCCTCCTCCTCTCCTCCTCCTCCTCTTCCTCATCCCTCCTCCTCCTCCTCCTCTTCCTCCTCCTCCTCCTCCTCCCTCCTCTCCTCCTCCCTCCCTCCTCCTCCCTCCTCCCTCCTCTCTCCTCCCTCCTCCCTCCTCCCTCCTCCCTCCTCCCTCCTCCCTCCCTCCTCCCTCCTCCCTCTCCTCGATGCTCACTGCGCGTCCAGCGCGCCAGGAGGCGGGCGGCTCGGCGCGGGCAGCACTGCCGCGAGGTCTGCGGCGGGCGCTCCGGAGCCAGCCAGGCCGCTCGCGGGCCAGGCGGCGGGCATCGCCGGTAGGGTGCCGCCTGCGCCCCCGCCCTCCTCTTCCTCCTCCTCCTCCTCCGCCTCCGCCTCCGCCTCCGCCTCCGCCTCCTCCACCTCCCACTCCACCATCTCACTCTCTCCTCCTCCCTCCACCTCCTCCACCTCCTCCACCTCCCACTCCACCATCTCACTCTCTCCTCCTCCACTCCCACCTCCCACCTCCCCCCTCCCCATCTCATGCTCTCCTCCCCCTCCCCCTCCTCCACCTCCCCCTCCCCCGGATCATTCTCTCCTCCTCCCCCCCTTCCTCCTCTCTCTCCTCCTCCTCCTCCTCCTCCTCCTCCTCCTCCTCCTCCTCCTCCTCCTCCTCCTCCTCCTCCTCCTCCCTCTCGACCAACCTCTTCTGCCTCCCGCGCCTCTCCCTCCTCCTCTTCGCGTGCATGCCGCCTGCGCCCCCCGTTGGCCGCGCGCCGTCGCCGAGCACGGGCAGCAGCGGCCGCTGCGCCAGCTCCTCGATCGCCCTGGGCAGCTGGCCCACGAGGCCGCGGCACCAGCCTGGGGATAGGTCGGGCATCTGCCCCTACGGGCGGATTTGGACAAGAAGAATACTCAAACAAACATGGTAAGAATAATATTATAAAAAGCATGGTAAGAAGAATACTCAAACAAAAAGTCAAGACATACAAAACATGGTAACAACATGCTCAAACAACTCGTCCCCATACTACTGTTGGTCTATGTTTCAATATTCCTCCTGTTGAGGGACATGCCCCACTTAAGCCTGGGGGGTAGCTGTCCCCGTTGATGTCCATGACGAGCCACCACGCGTCCGCCGACTCCTCAGGCCAGGCCGAAGGGTGCCTTCGAAGCCCCCCAAGACGTCCACGGTCCCTGACGATGGAAGCTCGTAGACTTCTGACGGTGGGGTCCAAGGCCCCGTCCCCATGACGACCCCGATTAGGGCCTGTCAGGCTCCTGCTCCAGGGTGATCCGCATGGGCCGGTGCGGCGACCTACCCAGGGCAGCCAAGAAGGCAAGAAAATGGAGATTCGCCGACGCCAGGGGGAGACAATTTATGACTGGAGGCTGGGTTGCGACCACCCCCTGGGAACACAGCCAAGGCAAGAAGGGCAGGAGCCCTTATCCACTGAGCCTCGGTACGACTTACATGAAAGGGAATGCGCACATGTGAACATCACCGACTTGACGCAAGGACTGCCAACGCACGACCTGTCAGATCGCTTGGGTATGTGAGATGGGCAGAGGGCAGAGGGAGGGAGAGAGCAGGGAAGGAACCAGACGAACGCCTCCTCCGTCCATGAAGCGGCCTACCCCAGCGGTGCCTGTGACCACACATTGGCGAATGACTTGGGTATCATTCACTTTCACGATGGTCCTATGTGTGTCATCGTGGGGCCATCAAGATGCGCATTGCTTTCATCTGGTATCGTATTGATGGTTTCGTCAGACTTCAGATTTGCTTCATTCCCGAATTAGCGCTTGCACTGAAGGGTCCTGGCGGAAATAAAAACACATGGCGAAACCAAAAGGCTGATTTCGGTGAATCGCTGGTGCTGGGCTGCATGGCGGAACAGCCACGCCGATTTCGGTAGGCGGCCGAATTCGCATGTGGTCCCACTTTCTGGTTGCGGGCTGATTTCGGTGGGCGGGTGGCTTCTGGGTTCCCAACTCTGGGTCGGGGTTCCCGGCTCTGTACGCTTGCACGGGTTCTCGAGTTCTTGGTTCCGTCCAAGTGCTCAAGTCATTGCGACTACGGTCGGAATGAGAGAGCCGCTAGTAGATCAGAGAGAATCCATATCAGAGAGTAGAGCGCAGAGTTGAATAGGGAAAAGAAAATCTCACGATATGAACGGATATGTCATGTGAGCAGAACCGTAACGGGAAACGAGAGACGGCGAGAGAGAAAGAGAGATATGGGAAATCGGAGTAGAAAGAAAGAGGGATAGTGAAAAGAGCATTTGCGGCTAAAGTCAAGATGAGGGGGTATATAGCAGGGACTAACCCATGTATACGAATATTACCCTCAAGATTATAAATCTGGACTCCGTGTATATCTGCACATACACATGAATATTGTATCTCCGAGAATAGATTGCAGTGCGAGTTGTGTGGGGCATATGAAGTAAGCCGGAGAAAGAGAGCGAGAGAGTAAGAGAAAGAGAGAGAGAGAGACCGACAGACGGGGTAGAGAGAGAGGGAAAAACAAAACGGGAGAGACAGAGAGAGAGAGAGAGAAACAAAAAAAGAGCGGGAGAGAGGAGAACGAGAGAGAGAGGGAGGAGAGAGGCTCGAGGGAGAGAGAGAGGACAAACATATAGAGTCACAGAAACGAAGAGGAAGAGACAGAAACGAAGAGGAAGAGAAACACATAGAGATGAAAGCATATCTTCCAGAGAACAACAATAAACATGGAATAGTCAGTGCAACTAGAACGGTGCAGGAGGAGGGCCGATACCAAAGAGCATCTATTGGTTTGCAGCCCATCCCGGTGCCGTGCATGGAGGCGGCAGTGGTGGCAATCTTGAGGACATGCGAGACTATGAAATAATCAAACGACTGGTGGAATCCTCTTGTGCCACAGTTGCTTTGTATGGTACCGCATTAGTACCACCTGGTCCTACACAGCTATGTCCTCATGCCATGTCTGCGTTTGGCTGGCACATGCACGCTTGTGCACTAAACTCTGAGGCGCTACCATCATGCTTGCAACGAAATGCGATGCTAATTGTTTATGCCGTAAACACACGATCGGTGCGTCCCAGGCGCGCGTGAACAACTCCGTTGGTTTATTGTGTTGTGGGCTTCCCCCGTGCGAAGTTTGCTGGCCAGGCGGGCTGGCCCACCATCCCCATACACGGTCAGGCCTTTCGACGTAACGCCCATTCTCCGGTACAGTCACCAGCCTCCATCTGAACAGAACAACGCCACTACACCAAAAAGCGGCCATCGTCATCCAACCCCCAGCGTAAGTGAACGCCAGCCCCTGTTTTGGCTGGACGCTGATGGCAAAACCCAAATATTGGAGGTCCTTCCCGCGCTTCCTTAATTCGCGCACTGTCATGCGACTGTTCTGGCGACCTTTGGAACATGCCAACAAGTTCGTGCGAACCATCACCAGCTATGGCGCTAGGCATGCGCTCAATCAGCGGGGGAACTTTGGCGTAAAACTGTGCGAACGTATGACGCGCATCTGTTATATGCGCTCTGGCGTGTTTCCGTGAGTAGAAACGCGCGCGCCCTGAATTACATGGAACCCGCATGCTTTGTGATTGTGTGCACGTAGCCACTAGCTGCTACTCCTCAGATGATGCATATGAGCCTTGCTCATGGATTAGGGTGTGAAGGGCCGCGCAGCGCTTGTGGTTACCGCGGGAGTGCAGGGCGCGTGTGGGCCTCCAGCCAGTGGAGAAGCAGCGGGAAGAGGAGGGGAGAGAGGACGGAAGGGGCGGATGACAAAAGAAAAGGCCTCTCCCTTCCCCTCCCCCTTCCCCTCCGCCTCTTTCTTCTTCTCCTCCTCCTCCTCCTCCTCCTCCTCCTCCTCCTCCTCCTCCTCCTCCTCCTCCCCTTCCCCTCCTTTCCCCTGAGCCGTTTTCGCCGCCCTGGCCTGTAGCTCTTGCGCTCGCGGCAATCTCCCCGACGGGCGTCGGCGCGCCTCCTGCCGTACTCGTGAGCCCTCGTCTGGCGGAACTCTAGCGGGCCCCGAGGCTGCTCGTCAAAAGGCAGTATGTTGACGAGGATACCCGGCGGCGCGAACGAGGGGGCAGGGCGAAGGAGGAGAAGGAGGAGGAGGAGGAGGAGGAGGAGGAGGAGGAGAGAGAGGAGGAGGAGGAGGAGGAGGAGGAGGAGGAGGCGGAGGAGGAGGAGGAGGAGGAGGAGGAGGCGGAGGAGAGGAGGAGGAGACGAACGAGGAGGAGGGGGGAAGGGAGGGAGGGAGGGAGGGCGAGGGAGGGAGGGAGGGAGGGAGGAGGAGGAGGGAAGGAGGGAGGGGGGCTCGGACTTACAGGAAGTCAGGGGGCTTCCTGGGAGTGACTGGCCCTCTAGGCTGGCCCCTTTGGCTGCAGGACGGGCCTCTCATGGGCGGGGTGCCCTCCCAAAAGGCTGGCCCCCCCTCGCCGCGCGCCCTCTTCTGCGCCGACGGGATGCGCTGGGAGTTCTGGATCGGGTCGAAGACGGTCCACCTGCAGGAGAACCCCGAATCGAATCGATAAGTCGGATCGGCAATCGGAATGAATCGGATCGGCGGAAATCGGCAGGCCAGTCGGGATAAATCGAATCGGCGGACATCGGCAAGCTCGCATGCCTCCACTGAGAAACCGGAACCCGAGTCGGACTCCCAAGCCGAATCGAATCGGAATCGGAATCGGAAGCCATCGAGATCGGATCCGAATCGGATCGGAGGGATCGAAAGGAGCCCTGCGCCTGCGGTTCCGAATCATGTCCGCGACCTGCATGCAGAACCCAAGCAGGGTTGCGCTCGGTCCGCAGGGCACTTCGCAGTCTCGCCAGTCGCTGAACAGGCCGACCATGGCATCGCTGAGATCTCCGTCGCGCATCGGCGCGTACAGAGTCAACGCCACACTCCTCAGAGGGCAGAGCCCCCCCCCATAAGAATCACCCCGACAAGCGACGATGCTTCTGTTCAGCAAACGCCCCCAATGGATGAATCGAACAGGCCAGGGCTGTTTCGTAGACGCCCAAGGCCGCTGAGTAGACGCCAGCTGTCGGGTCTGGGTGCTTTTCCCTCCCTCGGCTCCTGACCAGGGACGCCTCGAGCGGCGCAGAGCCGGCGCCCCCCCGCGCCTGCTGCGACCACGACCTCTCCCAGACCTCGTCGGCGCGGAACATCGAGGCCAGCAGGGCCGAGAAGAGGATCACGTCGAAGGGGATGCTGTAGCTTCTCGCGCAATGCCTCAGGGTCTCCACGGCCCCCGCCTCCAGCAGCACCTCGTGCACGTACACCCACGGGGGCTTGGCCGGCTCCCACGGCCCGTCAAAGCAGGTCGCCCGCAGCGACAGCTGCTCGGGGTGGCTCCACTGCGGGCGCCCGTCGAGGGCCGCGGCGAACCTGGCCACTCGAGAACGAAGTCCTGCTTGCCGTCGCTCGGACGTCCATTTCCCGTGCATTTTTCGGTTCGGTGCGTGTTTTTTTTGCTCGATAGTCCAGGATGGTCCTCGGTGGTGCTGGCCGAGAGAAATGCACACGCCCGAGCGATGCCAAGCCTGAAGGACGCAGGCCCTGGACCCCGGGGCTTCCCCTCGAGGGGCCCGCTCTCTCCACCCTGACCAGTGCTTCGACGGCCCCGGGGCCCAGCCGAGGGGCCCCGGGGAGACCGAACACGGCGAGGCCACTCTCCTCGGGACCCCCTCTTCTCCGTGGCGGGAGCCGCTTCTGCAGTGCCTCCACCGCCGAGCCGGGCGGCAACGGGACCAGGGCCGCGGTGGCGGCGGCCTGGCCGGTCCCCCGCCGCCCGCCCCGCGGCCGGGCGGCTTGCTCTGCGCCAGCGTACAGGCAGCTGAAGTCGTTGATGAGGGGCAGGCTGCAAAATCCATCGGAGTAGGCGTGGGAGACCACGAAGTACACGAAACTGCTGGGAGCGCCCCAGGTGTGCGACTCCTCTGCCCTGCAAGCGGCACCAGTTCGGGGGCCAGCCGCACCGAGTCCAGGCGGCAAGAGGAAGAGCGCCATGACGAAGGGCGGCCGGAACTCGTCCCGCAGACGCGAAGCCTGCTCCTCGACGTCGCGGAACGAGCTGCAGCGCACAACGACCACGCGCTCGTCCAAGAACTCCTGGGTGATGGGGACCTGGACGCTCCGTGGCCACGTCTCCTTCAGCGCCCAGCTCCATGCGCCCTCCACCGTCCGAGCCAATGCCGCCGCGGGCCTCCGCGCCCACGCGGGGCAGCGGGCGACGGCCGCCTCCACCTCTCGGCGGCGGACAGACCTCCCTTCAGCAAACCACCCTGCGGTGAGAACGGCCCAGGACCGAAAGAGACGGACCTGGACCCGCAAGAATGACGGCCGCGACGCCCTCGCGCGAACCGAAGACGGCCAATTCGCTAATCGGCGCGTGAGGGCAGGAGGTCTGTCAGCCTCCGGACCTCCGGCCATAAGGCCAGGCGCAGGGTCGCACTCTCCTTCAAGAACCTCACGAGCTCCATGCAGAGCTCCTGGCCGTCCTTCGCCTTCGAGTGCAGCACCTCGTGGCGAGCGATGAGGCGTGCCGCCGCGACGCGGAAGATCCTCTCGTCTAGGAGTCCCTTGCAGCCGTAGAGCCACTTGCACGTGCTTGTGTACTGCCCAGGGGCGAACCAAACCTTGGGTAACAAAAGTAACCCGCGAGAATCAAGTTCGGCCCTGCCGCCTCTCTTCCCTGACAGAATCTGCATTGGCCGTGGAGTCTAATGGTTCAGGGGTTGAGGGAGGGGGCTACTAATGATTATCCGGGGGTGGGGGTTACACAGGTACCGCAACTCCTGGACCAGGGTTCCCTCTGGACAGCTCTCCGAAACGAACTCGGCCGTGGCGACAAGGGCCCTCCAGTGGGCCCCCAAAGGCGACCACGCGAGCACAGCATCGATATCCATGTTCTTTTCCTACCCAGACCGTGTGCCCCTCGCCGCGGCCACCCGCGCCGCTCGAAGACTCCGCGCCGTGCGCCGCGCGCCCTGCAGCGGGGGGCCCCGTCGCCGCAGAGGCCTCGAGCGCCCTGGCGTCGACCAGGGCGAGCAGCTCCGTGGCGCTCGAACACTGGAGGACGTCCTGCGGCCGCAAGACCAGGCCTGGAGCTGCGAGGCGGAGGTCGCGGCACAGCGTGAGCACGGCCAGCGAGTCTACGCCTGCCAGGGTGCTGTCGCCGCGCACGCCGCGGTCGGAGCAGCGAAGCAGTGGCCCGAGCAGCTGCAACAGCCTGGCACCCGCGGCCGTGCCTGGCTGCAAGGCCGCAGATGCTGTGTCACCAGCCTCGGCCATGGAGCGGGCCGGGCGGCCTCCCTCTGTGCCCAGGGGGGGCCACACGTCGACAACGTCCCTCGTGTGCTCGTCCCACCAGCGGTTGTCGTACGCCTTCCAGCACTGCCTGCAGAAGCTCTCGCCATCCTCGCTCCTCCAGTCCTGGCGCTCGCCTGCCAAAGACGCCCCGCACTCGCGGCAGGCCCAGGCGAGGCCAGCAGAGGCGCCAACGACGGCCCCGCCCGTGCGGCCCTCCGCAGCGACGCCGCCAGCTGGACCGTGGGCACCCGCTCCGAGGCCCGCTTCGCGCTGCGCCTCCTGGCCAAGGCCGTCCAAAGCCACTGGGCCACCAGCTGCGTCGGCGCTGTTGCTGCTCTGGGCCTCGGGCTCTGCCTGAACGACCTGGACCCTCTGCGATGCCTGCCTGGCATCGGCGGCCGCACCAGCGCCACTGGGCTGGGCAGCGCATGCCCCCGCGGCGCCCTGCTGGGCCCACTCGCCCCGAAGTGCAGCCGGAACTTCTGGCGGCGAGCCTGGGGACAGGCACGCCAGGCAGAGCCTCCTGCACTGTGGGGGGGCGGCGATGAGGAGCTCAAGAAACCAGTCGCTCAGGCGCAGGCACAGTCCGGGCGCATCGAGCGCGCCGGCCAGGAGCGCTTTCACGTACCAAGCCCAACTTTTAGCCTGCAGCCACCACCCGCACTCCGCCTCCAAGTGGTCTGGGATCGCAGCCCAGAAGACGGTCCACCAAGGCAGCAGCCTCCCGCGGGCCCTGGCGAGCGCCATCCCCGCGACCGAGCCCACGAGCAGGACCGACTTCGCCACCGCCTGGAAGTTGAATTGGCGGCGTGCGCCACGTGATATCCGCGTCACGTGATAAACCAAGCATAGGAATCCGACTCGTCCGAACGGGATGTAATAGGTAATTCGTCGTACTACCGTCTTTGGCAGGTGCTGCGACAAGAGCCACAGGTAAGGCACGCTGGCGATGTGGAAGAGCAGGGAACCCTTGCGAAGGGGCGATCTGCTCCCGCGCCCTCCAGTGCCGAAGGCAAGCCTCAAGAGTGATGGAATGTCCAGACATCCGGCCGCAGCCAGCGCGAGCCACCAGCGCGGAAAGTAGCACAGCCGGGCACTCAAGGCAGGCCAGGCGGGGTTGGACGGGCGGGCCGGCATCAGGTCCTGTCGACTACACGCAAGAGTAATGCAAGAGTGACCTTTGGTGCGCGGACTAAGGCGTCGCAAGGTGGCCAAATCCAAGCGCGCAAGCAGCCGCGCATCGGCGATCGGGGGGATACCGATGGTCCCGCACCAAAGGTCACTCCGGCGAAGGGTCACTCTTACACGTCGGTCCGAAGAAGTAGGCAAAAGCATGAAGTAGGAAGGCGGATAAAGTAGGTTGGTTTCAGGCCCTCCCAGAGACTAGTAACATACAGCACAAGCATGCCGATTCCGGAAGCAAGAAGGCGCTAGAAGTGCACATTGGTATGTACGTTTAAGTCGGGCCTGTTCCCCTACAGGGGGGATTTTCGACGAAAAATAAAAGATACCCAGAAAATGCACCAAAAAAGGCCAACAAATATTCCAAAAATAGTCCCCAGACTATTTTTGGATTATTTTTTGATGATTTTTGGGGTATGTATTATTTTTCGTCGAAAATCCCTCTGTAGGGGGACAGGCCCGACTTAATGGTATGTACGTGCAGTCGATCCTTGAGCAGCGCCTTCCTGTCGATCTTGCCCGTCACCGGGTCGCGCGGCAACGGGTCCCGCACCAGGTGCAGCGCGGCCCCGCGCGGCAGCTCTGCCCGCGCTCGCCCCAGTGCAGCCACCACGCCTGCCGGCCCTGCGGCGGCACCACCGCGCAGCGCGACGAAGGCATGAGCGCTCGCAGGGGAACCCACCATGGCAGAAAAGCATAAAAAAACTCGGAGGCCCGCGCGGGGATGTCTCGGATCGGCGCTGGACCCCCCTCCATGGCGCGCGGAGCGCGGCGGGGGCGGCGCCGGAGGCGCCGCCAGCGGGGGTCCCATGGCGCCGATCCGAGGAGTCCTCGCGGACCTCCGAGCTGTTATGCTTCTGCCGTTGTTTGTTCCCCCAGCTCGGCGCCACGCCGGCGGCCAGCTCGGTGCCAGCTGTGGCTGGGACGATGGATGCCTCCACTGCCAGGCCTGCCGGCTCGGCGTTGAGGGCCGCGGTGAGGCGCCCCTCCGCGGCAGCGAGGTCCACGAACTGCCCGGCAACCTTCACCAGCGAGTCCGTGCGCCCGCAGAACTCGAGCAGGAGCGCTCCAAAACCGTCGTCCAGGACATGGACCAGATCGCGGGTGCGGAAGAAAGGCCCACCGGCGTCCTGAGCAAACACCATGCATGCCTCTGCCGATGCAGCCTCTCTTTGCTCTCCGTCCGGAACACTTGAGCCCTGCGGACTGTGATGCGTACAGAGAAGGAGTAAAAACGCCGTAAACATAAACTTTTGGCGCTTCGCGCGGATGTCCTGGATCTGCGCTGGACCCCGCTCCCTGGCGGCGGCGCGCGCCAGGAGCGGCGCCGGAGGCGCCGCCGGGGAGGCCCAGCGCGGATCCAAAAAATCCGGGCGGAGCGCCACAAATTTATGTTTATGGCGATGTTTCTTCTTCGAGATAGCCCACCGTGACGCAAGGCCCACGCAAGCAGAGCTCCCCCTCAGCGCCGGGCTCAGCCCTCCTGACTTGGCCGTCGCCGCCAGGTGGCAGGACGGCCACGTCCACGCCAGGCACGACGTGGTACAGGGTGCGGCCGGTCGGGGACTCCTTGCGGGCCCCAAGAAAATACACCACCACCACTACGTCGATTCCTTCTCCTCCTCCTCCTCCACCCTTATCTTCCTCTCCTCTTTCCTGGGGGAGGGAGGGAATGAGGAAGGTGGTGGTGATGTATACCTTTGAAAGAGCGTGTTCTACCGCTGCTGGCGGAAAACCGGGGGGGGTCACTACCGGTTCGAACCCCTCCCCCCCCCCCCCTCCGGAAAACCGGGGGGTCACTACCGGTTCGAACCCCCCCCCCCCCCCACTCATCATGAAAAGGGGGGGGGGTCACTACCGGTTCGAACCCCCCCCCCCCCCCTCGAAAACCGAGTGGGGGTGCGGACAGAGGTGGGGACGGTGTTGGTGGGACAGTGGTGAGGGGACAGCGGGACAGTGGTGGGGACAGTGGGACAGTGGGACAGTAGAGGGCCGGTAGTGGTGGGGACAGTGGTGGGGACAATGGTGGGAACAGGGGGGACAGTGGACAGTGGTGGGGACGGTGGTGGTGGGGACAGTGGTGTGGGCACAGTGGGAATGAGGTGGAAACAGTGGGACAGTGGAGGGTACAATGGTGGTGGGGACAGTGGTGAAGGCGGTGGCGAGGACGGCGGTGGGACAATGGGACAGAGGTACAGTGGGGACAGTGGTGGGGACAGTGGGGACAGTGGTGGGAACAGTGGGACAGCTCAGTGGGACAGCGGCGGAGTCAGTGGGACAGTGGGGACAGTGGGGATAGTCGGGCAGTGGTTGGGGCCGTGGAGACAGTGGGGAGAGTGGAACCGTGGTGGGAACAGTGGTGGGGACACTGGGGACAGTGCGACAGTGGTGGGGGCACTGGTGGAGACACAGTGGGGACAGCGGTGGTGAGGACAGTGGTGCTGGGAACAACAGTGGAGGATGTGATGCGGACGGTGGTAGGGACCGGGAGTCGTTTGCTGGCGGTGAATGGGGGGGTGGGGAGGGGTTCGAACTGGCGGTAGTGATCCCCCTCCGGTTTTCGAGGGGGGGGGGGGCCCTGACCATCCGGTGCCCTCAGAAATCTAAAGAAAAGTTAAGGTTATGGGTGCGCACATAGCACATCATTTTCCGCCCTTAACTTTTTATGTGCGCTGCCCATAGCGCCAATAGTGCCTGCACATAGTCTGCCCTTAGTTTGCCTTTAGTTTGCCTGCACTTCGTCTGCCCTTAGTTCGCCCCAGCCCACTCGACTGTGCTCAGCCCGCGTAGCACTTGTATGAAATCAGCTCTGCAGCGCTATGGGCAGTGCCCATAAAAAGTTCAGGGCTGAAAGTGATGTGCTATGTGCGCGCCCATAACCTTAACTTTTCTTTAGAGTTCTGAGGGCACCGAATGGTCAGATCCTGCGTCGTCGGCCCGCATTATGAGATTTTCCATTGGGGATTCCAAAGGAATCTCCATTGGAATTCCCACAATAATCTCCATATGTAGGGATATCCCTAGGAATTTCCATGGGAATCTCTATAGGAATCGCAGCAATAATATCCATCGGAATCTCCATCGGGATATACACAGGAATATCCATGGGACACTCCATCGGAAACGCCATAAGAATCCCCATGGGAATCTCCATGGGAATCACCATAGGGATCCCCCTAGGAAATGCCATCGGGATCTGCACTGGAACCTCCATGGGAACCTCCATAAGGCGCCTGTGCAACCCAGCTCAAGGTGTGAGCCTAATGGCAAAAGAGGAGGAGGAGGAGGAGGGAGGGAGGAGGGAGGGGGGAGGAGGGAGGAGGGGAGGGAGGAGGAAAGGGAGGAGGAGGAGGAGGAGGAGGAGGAGGAGGAGGAGGAGGGACGGAGGGGGGATGAGGGGGAGGGAAGAGGGAGGAAGGGGAAGAGTTGATTCGCTCGTGGGCTGACGACAAGAACGACGATCGACCGAAGGGCCCGAAGGGCCGAAAAGGGAGCGAGGGACGGGAAAACCCAGCACCCCAGACAGAGCCGACCGAGGGACCCGACCGACAACAAACAGGACCGAAAACCTCGAGGGCCGCGATCTCTGTGCAGGATGAGCAAGCGCCGCCTGGTAGTTGGAATGTGTACCCCTGCCATAAGAAACACAATGGGCGTCGTCGGCCCCCCTCTCACCCCACCCCTCCTCCTCCTCCCTCCTCCTCCTCCTCCTCCTCCTCCTCCTCTCCTCCTCCTCCTCCTCCTCCTCCTCCTCCTCCTCCTCCTCCCCCCCCCCCCCCCTCCTCCCCTTCCTTCTCCACCTCCACACCCAACATTTTCAAAGTGATTGGAATCATGGTGCGCATTCTCAGCGACCTCCTTCTCCGCCCCCCCTTCCTCCTCCTCCTCCCCCTGCTCCTCCTCCTCCTCATCCTTCCCCACCTGCTCCTCCTTCTCCTCCTCCCCCTCTTCCTCCTCCTCCTCCTCCTCTTCCTCCTCCTTCTCCTCCTCCTCCTTTCCCAACATGTTTCAACGTGATTAGAACCATGTTGCGCATTCTCAGCGACCTCTTCCCCCTCCTCCTCCTCCTCATCATCATCATCCGTCCTCCTCTTTCTCCTCCTCCTCCTCCTCCTCTTCCTCCTCCTCCCCCTGGCGCGGGCGGCGGGTGCCTCGAAGTTGTGGTCGATCGCGTCGCGAGTTTGGGGTGTTTGTGTGCTTTCTGTGTGCTATAGTTATATGAGGACTTGTGTTTGCCTTGGACGGGGACACATTAAAAACATTGCCGCCTCTGGGGGACTCTGGAGGCCTCTGGAGGATTGGATGGCTCTGGAGGACCTTGGGGGACTCTGGAGGCCTCTGGGGTTCTTTGTTGTGTGTTTTGTTGTTGTTTATTGTGTTTGACACGTGTTTGTTTGTTTCGTTGTTGTTTTTTGTTGTTTTCATGCTTGTTTTTCCTATGACGGTCGGTCTGTGATCGACTCCAGAAAAACTCCCCATCTGTGTTTGTCCATCATCTTGGCGGGCACGTCATGCAATCGTGTGCCAGCAGTGCAACGGGCTGCGATACCTTTACACACCTTCACAAAATCCTCTCCCATGAAGGTCGCAACTCGCCGAGGGTTCATGAACTTGGACCTGTACGCCAGGTGCCATAAAAAGTGTAGCTTTGGGGCTGCTGAAAACAATGTATCTGAGCGGATGTCAGCCTGCGCACCTAAGTAGGAATAGTCTGCCAAGAAATGCTCAGTGAGATCCATGAACTCACTTGAAACTCTGGCAGGCCACAGCAAATCGGACTTGTAGTCATCCAGCGTCGCCTGCATTTCTGACAAAGACTCTAATGCACGCGCAACTCTATTGTCATGGGGCGCACCCCTGGAAAATGTAGCCCACTCCTGTATCAGTGGACCAACGATGCCTTTTACTTCTGCCCCCCTGCCCTTGAGGCGAGGGTATGTTTCGCTGCGTTTATTTTGTGGTATGAAGAACGAGAGTGACATTGCTGTGTATTGGGCTGGAGTATGCTCAAACTTATAAAGTTTGAGTATCTCCCCCCACACAACATCGATCGCCGCTTCTGGGGGACTGCCAGACAAACTTGCAAAACACAAAATCCAAAGAATTGAACAGATGAAATATTGACAAACCCCTAAATATAATATGTGCAGCTCGTCCATTTCCACGTTCAACATTGAGATGCAATCGAACGTCGTGAACAGTGGATGCGTGCAGAAACCAGTTGCAACCCATTCGTCCCGTGTGTGCAGCATGTTTTTCCACGCCGAATGTTTGGTGAAGTTTGTCGGCCACATGTGTTTTTGGTTTCTTTTTGTCACAGGGGCATTGCCAACAAGGGGCGTCAGCATTGTAATTGTTTAGCCCCAAGCACTTCGCGTACCAATCTAAATCTCCAGTTATCGACCACAACACTGCAAAGTACGGCTCGTCATCTGAGCACAAACGTCTGCCACTCACCATGGAATCGCTGCTGCCACACGGATAAGGGATTCCATTTTCATCTGCGTTTGGGAATCGACCATTGAATAACGCCTCTAAGCTCCAGAGGAGAACTTTCCAGACAGTGTCCATCGTACCGACAATCCCTGGCAAACTCTTTACTTTGTTAGCTTCGAAAACTGAGAACGCCAACAACTTCACTGCCTTTGTGTTTCCCTCGGCGAGTAAGCTTTGGAAACTAATGCAATCTAAACTTTTTGCCCCAGGCTTGCCGACCCTCGCGACGGGGACTGCGTCCCCATGCAGGCACAGAGGGATCGCCCACTTGTGCCAGTCTCCCACCGTGGCCATCGGATGGCCCTTGATCCTCGGATCTTTTCTCTCGACGACGCCTCTCCAGAACTCGCTCAACTTATCTGAATACGATTTTCCGTCGGGGAGATCGCCCAAATATTTTTTCTTGAACTCACATGTGTCGCCGCGGAAGAAATGCGAAAACATCTGATGAGGCAGCAAGAACGGCAAACTCACATTGCGAATTGTTTTCTCTAGCACCCTCGGTTTTTCAACAAGCACGTTTACCCTGAAGTGGGCCATGTGTGGAAGATTCGGAGTCCCGAGCCACTTGATCAATTGGGGATGCACGTTGCCGTCGGTCCGCCCCAAATCACCTAGCTTTGCCAAATCATGCAGGGACGATGGTATATGGCCCAATGGCAAACGTAATCCCACCAGCCCCCTGGGGGCAAGTGGTTTAGGGAGTTTCCTCTTCGACCCCTCCTTCGTCCCCATCGGGTAAGGGGTTTACCCCTCCCCCCACCCCCTCCCCTGGACCTGGACGGGGGGCGCGGCGACGCGTTGGGGCGTCCAACATGGCCCAAGACGGCTCCAAACACGCATCGGAATGGCCAATCTGGCCTCCAAGATGGCTCAATATGGGCCAATATGCATCACGATGGCCCTGAAGATGCCCCTAGACCGCCTCGAGACGGCACCAAAAGGCTAAGTAGTTCCCCAACCAGTCCCCCCAAGAGGCTAACATCCTTCAAACGCCTGAGGGGAACCAATGTGTTTTGCCTTCTCGCCATGTCGCTTCCGATGGCCTTCCGAGGCCCAAGATGGCTCCAAAA